CGCCGGACCCTCGTCGTCTTCTACTACTTATTGGGACACAGAAATGCTCAAAATTACATACCACCCATGACCCAACCCGCTGCGGCCGAGAAATTGACCCCACTTCCACGTGAATACTCACTCGTAATTCGTAAATAAACGTGTGTTTTTTTTTTTTTTTTTTTTTTTTAAATACTAAATTGGTTGTTACTTGGTACATAAATCTTCTTTTTTTTTTTAAAAAAAAAATGTTAATGATAATTTTATTTTTAATTTAAGCAGTGATAATATATTTAATGAATGCACAAGAAGTATTTTATATACGATATCAATGAATTCAATAACGATGATTATTTTAAAATTTCTTCATTTTATAGATTTGTCAAAATTGATTGCAACATTGTTGTAGTCTCGGCATCTTTTTAATGCGCGCCAACTGTGTCACGATATCCTATTGTCCTATATTAACATTTTTAATAATGAGTTTTAAATGTAGCTACATAAGATAATGATCTAAATAACATTTACATATTATAATTAACATAAAAACATACCAATTTTTTATGTGTTCTGCTCAGGGTTCATTTGGTTCAACCATTATTGTGAAATGAGTTTTTGTGGATAGATAAATCTCTAGTCTACTATGAAATGAGCGTTATGTTGTGCAACCGTGTGCATCATGCAAGGTGTACACAGAATTGGATCCATAATTTCTATACTATATATCTATAATTTCTATACTATAGATTCATAATTTCTATACTATAGATTCATAATTTCTATATTGTAGATTCATAATTTCTAAACTGTAGATTCATAATTTCTATACTATAGATTCATAATTGTTATACTATAGATTTATAATTTCTAAACTGTATATTTATCAAATTATGAACATATAGTTCAGTAATTTGTGAATACAGAGTTCAATAATTGAGAATATGAACATTGGAAATTATGAACATTGAGTTTTGTAATTGTGAATATAGAGTTCAATAATTATGAATTTATAGTATAGAAATTATGAATCTATAGTATAGAAATTATGGATCAAATTTCGTGTGCACCATGCGTGGTGCACACGGTTGCACAACTTAATTTGCCACTATGAAATAAATGGTTTAGATTATTTTGATTTTAGTATTTTGTTTATGATTTTTCTTCTTTACGCTCTATCATATTTTTTTTCCCTTAAACAATCTTTTATTCTGTTAGTATAAATTTTAGTAACAGAATTAACTATTTATTATTCTTAACTTATTGATTTCTATAAGAAAGGTCTTAGGTTCAAACCTCATCTCAATCAGAGTTGACATAATTGTTAAACATATACTACAAATATATTAGAATGTATTAAAAAAATGATATAAAATTTAACATAAACTTTGGTCAAACAATTAGCCAGATTAAATACATAGGATTCAAAGTTGAGCATCAAGATTATAAATAAGGAATCTTGAAAATCATTTTCTTACATTTTTTTTAAAAAAAAATTTAGGTTAAGTTTTTTTATTTCTTCTTTGTTCGTTTAATTAATATTCTTTTGATTATTTAGAACAAAACTCAATATTTCAATTACATTTTTGCATTATTGGAAATGATTTAGATCATTATGATATTTGATGGAGATATTGGGTACGGGCTCAAAGTCTGTTGGACTTGTGGTGTTGGGCCGAGGTGTGACAGAACAAGCAAAGGGGTTATGGTGGGCCAGGAGGGTCGAAGGAGGAAAGTGGCTCGGCTGGGGTATCATCGGCAACGATCCTTGTCGACGATAGCTCGGGGCGGGCAAGGCGGTGCGCACGTGGCCAGTGTGGTCTGTGCGCCCGACGGCATGACCAACGCGGGCTCGCACGGGGGTTGCACCACCCTCCAGGGGTTGGTTCGCCGTGGCGGTGTCGTCGCTAAGGGGCATTGCCGATGGGCCTTGGCCGGCCGAGGCGCGGCCATCGCACCGGGTGCGTGGCTTTGTGCTTGGTTCGTGCCCCATCGTCACGGGGGTATGGCGTGAAAGGTGGGTGGTGGGTGAGCGGCGTGTGCATGTGTGCAAGGTGGTGGTGTGCGAGTTTGAGACGTGGGGAACGTGGAAGCCGTTGGATGAAGTTAGTCAAGGAACGTACACGTGGAGGGTGCGAGATGTGGGTGGTTAGGATATAAATAGGGTGCATGGCTTCCTATCAGGGTGAGGTCTGAACGCTACAAGTACTATAGTCTAGCGGTATCGGTCTTGTGTTCTCAACCCTTGTGTCTGGGTTTGATTCCTAATGACTAGTGATAGATAGCTTATTCATTTGTAATCCACCCTTTGGGCCTTGTCCATTCTGCTTGGGTCCTCATTCCGTACCTCGGGCCGTTGTGCGTATTTTTTTGGGCCTAGCGTCCTAAATAATAATGGCCATTATTTTCTTATCCTTGTTTTACGCATAATAAAACCATCAATATTAATATTTTTTGTCGGCATTTCTATAATAGTACAATTATACATTACTTTACAAATATTATACTATTATTTTTTATCGGACAAAATTGTTCTTATATCATTGTCAAATCTGCGACCTAATTACAAAGTTGTTTACGAGAAATACAACTTTTAATGGTAAAAATTATAATTAATCTCTCACATATTATATATATATATATATATATATATATATATATATATATATATATATATATATATATATATATATATATATATATATATATATATATATATATATATATATAGAGGGAAAATGGCACTTTTTTCCCCTTTGTTATATACTTATAGCATTTTTTCCCCCTAAATTATTTAAGTGGCAGTTTTTCCCCCTGATATATTAAATGGACATATTTACCCTTAAAATAAATATTTCATTTATTTTTTTTCTCCAACAAATTATAACCACGATTTGAAAAAATAAAATACATTAAGTGTTAAATTTAGAATATTTTAAAAACAAACAAATAAAATTTTAAAAGAAAGTTTGAACCAACCGTTCAAATTGGATCCAAAATCGTGAACCGACAGTTCAAAATAAAACTCAAATCGCGATTATATATACTTATATGTGAGAGTCAATATAAATGCGAAAAAAATATACACTATTTGCAAATATTATAATTCTAATTTAAGCTATTGCTAGTAGTTGTTCCGATTTGAACCTCCGGTTCACGGTTCAGGATCCATTTTTTTCCTGTTCACGATTTTAATAAACGGAAACCCAAATATTGGGTTATGTTATGAATCATAACCGAAATTTTTTAATTTGATTGTTATAGTGTTTGGTTCAGTTCGAACCGAACCGTGGTCATCCCTACGTATAAGCAATAATTTGGTGAAGAAGAGAAATAAATAAAATATTTGTTTTAAGGGTAGAAATGTCCATTTAATATAATCAGGGGGAAAAATCGCCACTTCTATAATAATTGAGGGGGCAAATGTGAATGCATGAATAACTCAGGGGGAATAAGTACTATAAGCATATAATACAGGGGGAAAAAGTGCCATTTTCCCTATATATATATATATATATATATATATATATATATATATATATATATATATATATATATTAATTACTGATTTCAATAAACAAATTATCGTTTAATTATATTGAAGCTTTTCCTTTCAAAAAAAAATAATAATAAATTCAGTCATATACCATAACAAGGCAACTAGTATCTATCTAATATCTAAATAAATTTGGTCGAAATAATTTCGCCGGCAAAAGTTTGTATTTTGTTTTAGTAACAATCTTTAATCTTTAATTTTATTAATAAATTACCATATACATTTTCCTCGAAAAGTGTAAAATTTGGTATAAAAAAAGTAATTGAATGAAAATTTCCAAAATAAGTTTATGGCAATAAATTAATCAGTATTACGGAGTTAAAGATTGGAAGTTTTTTTTTTTTTTTTTCACCTTTCATCCAATCACTATTTTATCATTTTCATACTGATTACTACTTCTTCTTTTTATTTTTATAGAACATTTGATTCACAACTTTCAATTTTTTTCCGCATTTGTTGTTATTATTTTTAAAATCTTGCATCATTTGACCAGTAATCTAATTTTTGATAGCCAACGACCAGATTTGTATCTTTATGTTGTTAAACGTGAGTACATAATAGTCAAATAATTTATTTTAAAAAATATATTGTAATTTTCTGACATTTTCCAATTTAAAAATTGTATTAATTTCACTTTTGGTCTCACGACTTTTGAGTTCTTATCACTTTTGGTGCACAACTTTAAATTTTTTCACTTTTGGTGCCTAATTTTGTTATTTTTATCAGTTTTGGTCCTTCCAGCCAAATTGATGGTAAAATATTTCCGAATTTTATATTTTAGGGACAAAATCGTCATCCAATTTAAAGATCTTCAATATTTAAACAAAAGAAAAATCATATTAAAAGGAAAAAAAGAGTTTGGCAATTGTCGAAACTATAAATCCCATAGATCTGTCTGGTTTCTGCCCGTCTTCCCCATCTCATCGATCAAACACCTATAGGTATGATTTTAAGTGATTTTGTTTAGATATTGAAGATGCTTCCTTAGGATGACAATTTTACCCCTAAAAATATAAAATCCAACAACATTTCGCTGTCAATTTGGCCGAAAGGACCAAAACTGATAAAAATAACAAAGTTAGGCACCAAAATTAAAAAATTTTAAAGTTGTGCACCAAAAGTGATAGAACATCAAAAGTCGTGGGACCAAAAGTGAAATTAATTCATAAAAATTTGTCATTGATGATTATAAATTAGGCCAAATGACTAATTTGAAAAAAAAATTAGTGATCAGATACTAAATATAAAAATAATTGAATAATCGTGGGATCAAAAGTTAAAAAATCTCTAAAAGATTGGTAAGATCTTGTGAGCCCATTCTTTGTACTGCCCACCTGTCCTTATCTTATTCCCACCCCGCAAAATATAATATTAAAACAATTTCCATAAAAATAAACCCCAAAATTAAGAAAAAAAAAAAACAGAAAGAAAAAAGATTGCAGTAGAAAATTATAGAAAAGACAGAAGACTCGCATTCTCTATTCTCTGAGCAGGCACCTTGTATTGTATTCCGGTTAGGAGAGGGAATAAAAATACAGAGAGAGAGAGAGAGAAAGAGAGTAAAATATATTCTTCCCCGGACCGGAGTTTTCTTGAATAAGTTTTTGTTGTGGATTTTTCCGATTGATTATTGTGGGAATATATCATCATCGTACTAGTACATCGTCCGAACCTACTGAACAGAGCTTTGGTATCAGTTTCCGTTCCCTTTTTGTGTCTGAGTTTGCCCAGAATAGCATAGATACATAGATTGACTGATTTATTTATTATCTAGGTGAATAAAATTTAGGCGGGCGGGCTTCCGTAAAAAAGAATCAATCTTGGGATCAAACTCCGTTCGATTTCCGATCATCCGGAGAGGGTATCTGGGTATTCTTGTTTTAGTTTGTGGGTATTAATTGAATTTGGATTTGGATATATTTGACTGTTTCGATCTGGGGAGGGTTCCGGCGATAATGGATACGAGTTCCGAGACTATGGATAAATGGAGGGACTATTTCCGGAGTGCGAATTCTGACATCTTTGGTATCATTGAGCACGCGGTTATGGTGGCGGCCATGGATTGCCCCAAGGAGTTCAAATTGAGGAGGGATCGAATTGCTGAGATGCTCTTCACGTGCAAAGCCACGAGGTGCTCCGGCTGCAACAACGTTGAATTGGCTTTGCCCAACGAGGACGAGGTCAAAGAGAAGCGTAAGAACACTGGGTTCGCCCGGGAATTCGAGAATGGTGTGAGTAAAGAGAGCAAAACCTGTGACAGCCGAGATGATCGTGCGGAGATGAATGTGAAGCAGGTCAGCAATTACAGCTATGGTGATGCTGAGGCATTGACTGATGAGATTGAGGAAGAGTCTTTGACTGTCCGGGAGGTCTTGAGGATCAAGGGGATTCTCGATAACTACGAAGAAGAGGTTTACTTTTAATTGGTGTTGTTGAATCTTATATGAATTTCTTTTGTTAGTATCTTTTCACTAACTGGTTTTAGTGTGTTTAAATTGTTTCCTTTTCCAACTTTATCAATTCAGTAGATTCTGGGTTTAAAGAGCACTTTATGTTCTTGAGAGTTTTTGGAAACTTAGATGCTCTCTTGGTTGATCAAATAGAAATATTTCCTAGATTTTTATAGCTTTTACAGATTCTTGCAAGTGCTTTTGTGCTAATTTATATGTTGCCAGTTTAATTTGCATGATTAATAATGGCATTGGTGGGTTTTGATCTGTGGTGCTTTTTTTCCTTTTTTGATGACAGTCTGATTCTATATTGTTTGATTCCCTGAGGAGGCTTCAATTGATGGATTTGTCTGTGGAGACACTCAAGGTTTGATCTTTTGCTTTCTGTTTTACTGGAAAGTCTACTTTGATATAGCAGTGACTTAATTGAATCACTCTTGTTTCAGGCCACAGAGATTGGGAAATCTGTAAATGGTCTACGAAAACATGGATCTAAACAGATTAAGCATCTTGTCCGGACATTGATTGAGTACGTAATTCTTGGCTTGTTGCTTTTTTGTTAGAAAATCATCTTCCAACGTTTCTGATTGTGCTCTTTTTCGGTATAGTTGCAAAATGTTTGGTGACAGGTTATTTTCATGGCTGTTGCCCTGATAATATCAAAACCATTTCCTCTGTTATTTGCCAATTTTGACTTTCCTTTGCTTATGAAAATTTTACTTTATTTGCCCATTCCATAACGAAATCTTTAATCCTTTAGTACCTGGATTCTACAACCATAGGCTAAATGAAAGTTTTCCATCAATAACGTTTGATCTCTTCATTTATTAATTTATGTGTATGTGGTTATTCCCTTTTTTGAATAGCACTGCTCTTCAAGTTATCACTGTTGGGGAGAACTTATATTTTATAAATGCATAGCATTAATTAGAAAGCAAGATTATAGCTCGAATAAGCTCAATTATGCCCATAGCTTCCTTCTATCTTCATTCATTCACTGATTTGTTCCATTCATGTTGATTGTAGGGATTGGAAGGTCATGGTAGATGAGTGGGTCCAAGCTACAGCAGCCATTACAGGTAGTTATTAGGAGCCTTTGATTTGGGGTATAAACGCACTCAAGATAAGGTTAAAGATTGATTTATTGACTATTTAAATGTGCAGAAAGCACCCCAGAGTCTGTAAAAGCATCGGTGGTTGAAGATGAGGAGGAAGAGGAGGAGGAGGAGGGACTTCCTTCGCCACCCTTGGATGAGGGAGCTTTCTTTACGACTGCTTCAATGGAGTTATCACAGGTACACATCTTCTTGAACAAATCTGCTCTTGCTATCCTCCCTTGAAAGTTAGCACTGACTGGTTTTTGTTTATTTTTGTTTTGCTCACTCGAACTCTGAAGTTCTTTGATGGCATGGACTTTGATGGAAGTGAGTTCGATATGCACCCTTATTCTTTACAGTATAGCGTTTGCTATTTGGTTCTTAATAGAATTCCCCACTAACGGAGATTTGTTTTTCTCATTGGGGATTTTGTTTCAGATCCTCGAAACAGTGGGGAATTCAACAAGAACCATGAAAATGGCAGAAAGCCCTCGGTGGAGAACCATAATGTTCCTGTTAGGAAACCACAATTTAATGAAAGGCCAAATGTTGCTCCCAGAAACATTAAGAACGAACCACCAAAGAAGCAAGAAGTCGTAATGAAGAAACAGGAAACCGACTCTAAGCTAAATAAGCCTTCTGCTGGCGACTTTGGGCCAGGAAGACCAACAAGACCAGCTGTCGAGCAAAAGTTCCAGCAGAAACCAGATAAAAGCAAGCTTCAGAAGAGGCCGGTTGTTTCCAACCAAAATGTGAGGATCAAACTGGATTTCGATCACTTACATATAAAATAGAAAATTGATTGTTTATCTAACTAATATAATTTCGTTTGGTTAGAAGTTAAAGACTTCAGATGAGGATTCAGTTCAAGTGAAACTGGAAGCGGCAAAGAGGAAACTACAGGAACGCTACCAAGAAGCTGCAAATGGTTAGTTTCTAACTCTCCACATCGTTCACTTGAATGAATTCCCTTCTTGAAGCCCATAATAATGTTTTTTTTTTCACTTTTTCTTTAGCCAAGAAGCAGCGAACAATACAGGTTATGGAATTGCAAGACATCCCGAAGCAAGGTCAAGTCCATAAAAATCCACACGGAAGACCTGGCAACAACAGGCATTGGGCAAACGGGCGTCGATGAGTGTCTGACAATGTTGCCATATCGCCACAAAGTTGTTCGACCTTCAATTCATTGAAGAAGAGAGAGATAACTCCTCTCCATACCATATATGCTATACTCTCTCTTTGGAGGATCTCATCTAACTCGTCTCATAGAGAGGCCGCTCTAAAAACCAGAGTGGCATGTTTTTCGGAACCATAGTCACTACTCTCATTGTTACCATCTATTCATGTATAGTGTTTTCTGAACAAAGGAGAGCATGGTACATGTTTTGTAACCCTCTCTTGCCCTAAGTGTCATTTTGCTGACTTTCTCATAAATTGACCTTAAATGGGCAAATGACCAATGTTTTTACAGAGCACTTCTTGAACTGAACCCTCATCCAAATGCAATAGAAAAGTTGGTCAATTCTGCTTTTGTTACCCATTCAAGAATTGGCTGATAATCATGTGATTAGCCTTATGAAAGGGAATCTGTGTCATGATTAAGTGCAGATGGTGTTATCTTTTGCATGGAGTATTTAAAGATTTTGGTGATTGTTTGGTATGCTTTGGATGGCATTATCAACAGGCAACACAAGTTGGTGAGAAGAGAGCCACAATCTAAGTTGGTTTATTTTTTTGTGGTCATTTGCTGGTTAAGGTTATAAGTTGGGATTAATCCAGTGCACAGTTTCGGATAGTGAATTTTTTTTTTTCACCCAAAAAGTTGGTGGGAAGATTGGTTTATTTTCTTGTGGTTATTTGCTGGTTAGGGTTATAAGTTGGGATTAATCCAGTGCACATTTTCAGATAGTGAGTTTTTTTTTTTCACCCAAAAAGTTGGTGGGAAGATTGGTTTATTTTCTTGTAGTCATTTGTGGGTTAGGGTTATAAGTTGGGATTAATCCAGTGCACAGTTTCGGATAGTAAATTTTTTTCGTCACCCAAAAAGTTGGTGGGAAGAGTTTAGGTAGGGGAATTCAACAGCTGGATAAACATAATCAAAAGATCAGAAACAGTTCCATTGATGTGGAAATGTCATAAGCATGCAATTATGTGATAGTAACATCCATGAATGTTAATGCTAAGTATATCTTTTGCATTGACATTATTTTCCTTTTGTTTAATCATGATGATTATGGAGCTCTAACATGTATGAAGAAGTGGGTAGGTGAGCAAGTTAAGATATGTATAGAAATTTGTGTATTATCATAATCATTTTTTAAAATCGTCTATATTTGTACTTCTTTTCTTTCGTGTCAATAAATAATTTGTTACGAAATATTTTTTATACTTAAAAGTTGGAATTCAATATATGTTCATACAGATACTTTATACTTGTATATATCTTGTGAGGCAGGTTTAATTAATAATTATTGATATTTTGACAATTGTCAAGTATGAATTGAAGCAAGAAAAAAAAAAAAAGCAAACAAACTTCTCTTTTTAGAGGATATTTATTGTTTATATTTATGGGAAGGATAAGGGTACACGTTGTAGGTTGTAACAACCATTTTTCATACCCCATACCAACCTTTCCTAATCCACTTACCTATCAACCATTTTCATCCTCTTACAATATCTTTAAAAAAAAAAAAAAAATACTAAGTGCGGATTAGTGTCATGCTTTCACGTGCTAATGATTCAATTATAAGAATCTATTTTTCACCATATTTTTTACTGCTTGATTTAGGAATGTTTTCCATCAATAAAAATGTTTTAATTATTCATTTTCACAAGGAGGTAAATCAACTTAAGTAGTTTATGAACAACTATTTCAGACTAAGAAGACTAATAAACATATCTGACAAAAAGCTGAACTTGAAATTTTATGATTATTAAGTCAATTGTCTAACCTTCTTACTTTAACTTAGTAGCATTAAAGAGGGATGCTAAGGGGTGAATATAATGTAAAAAAATAATCATTTTCCATTTCTTAATTAGATTAGATGTTTAGGTAAACTTGATACGGACACAACAAGCAAAAAGGGTAATGATCGTAATCAAGTGTTTATCTTTGATTTACAATATACCAAATCCAATATAATCATCATTAAAGAAAAAGTATTTTTGACGTTTTAAACTTTCTTATTTCCTCCTTTGTTTTCGCTGCACTACAATGAGGGATGCAATAGCCACAAGTCCACAACTGCCTCTTCATCTGGCCAAAGTAGTTGTCATGTAACAACAATTTTTTAAAAACTATTGTGATATTTTTTTTTTCTGGGTTTAAATTTGTAAAGACTATACAACAATAATAATCAAGAGAAAATCTAAGAAAAGTTTAGGATAAGTTAATCCTAATTAATTAAATAAATCTTTAAAGTCGTCGGTCCAAGCATGATCTGTTTAAATGTTCAAAATTAACCAAAATTAAATGTGTCAAACTAACAAAATTAAAGTTGCATCGTCACTCATTTTCTTGTGTACGCTAACCAATAAAATAATAAAAGTATAAGAGCACCTATGGGCTATGCCCAACTTACCACTTACCACTTTACAGTCAACCATGTACACCCCAGCTTTATACCACAACACCAAAAAAAAAAAAAAAAAAAAAAAAAAAAAAAACAATGGCGTCTCTGTGTCTGAGAGATGGCTGCGGTTTGGGCTAAAGGGAGTATTTATATTTTTGTGAATGGTAAGCTGTTAGTTCATGAATCGAGACAAATAGTATTTTGATTCGTAATCATATAAAAGATTATAGTTAAGGATTGAATTTAATAACTATGGTTAATGTTGATGTTTATATTTTTGTGAATTGTAAGCTGTCAGTTCATGAATTGAGACGGACAGTTCACGGTTTTAAATTGTGTCATATATGTGTGTATTCGAAATAACATTACTCTTTAAATGTAAATATATGTTATATCTACTATCTAGTACTTCATAATACTACTAGTACGTCTTATAGACTCATCACTCATAGTATGAAGTAAGGTGTAAAAATTTACTTAATTACATGGTGTAGGCTTAAAATGCCAAAATAAATAAAAATAAAAAGTTAACCGAAGGTTTATAAACTATCAAGGAACCATATATTAACATCATTTTTTATCTATAAAAATACTCCGTAGTTATAGTAGTTTTTTGACATTATATTTAAAATAAAAATAAAAATCCGAGTTGGAGGCAAAATGGGAAAAAAGATAGATGACCAAACTCCACGCGCATCAAATTGACTTGAAATTGTGGTCGGCAGATCAGTGTTGAATTTGGGACCATAAAAACATTCAGATTCCCAAAAAGCCATCAAATAATATATAATATTCCTTATTTATCCTCGTGCATACATTGTATCAACCCATTTCATCTCTTTCAGCCTTTCAGCTTGCTTCCTAGGCTAAGCCTCCTTTCTACCACCTTTTATTTTTCTATTGACAATTTGACCCCTTAGATTCAAAGTTTTCCTACTTTTAAAAAACCAAAAATTTTCTATGGCTTTTTGGAAGTTGCTCTTCAATTTCTTTGGTCATTGTAAGAGGACAATGTTCAATTTGATGCATGCTCAAATTGGACTTTACCAAACATCTTCATAATTTCTTATAAAAATTTAAGAAAAATGTTTAAATTGAGCCCTGAATTATACAAGAAAATACAATTAAGTCACTACATTTTAAAAAATACGGAGTATATATAATTGATCCCTTCAACAAGTTAAAGTGTGCAATTAAATCTAATAATAGACTTTTCAAGTCACCAACCGGTCATCTTATTACAATAGTTATGTACTCCGTAGCATTTTTTAAATCATTTCTATTTATATTTACTAAAATTATTATACATCTAAGCATTTCTTCAATAAAAAAGCTCAATCACAGTTATCGTCGAGATAAAATCATCATTTTGTCGCGATTTGAGACGAATGAAGCATCAAGCTTTGTCCCTGGGATGCCGAAAACGAAGCAGCAAGCTTCTCCTCTGAGATCTCAGAGACGAAGCTTGCTGCTATGTTCGTCTTAGATCGAGATGAAACGATAATTTTATCTAGACGATGATTGTGACTGAATTTTTTTTTTTAATGAAAAATGCTTAAATGTATAATAATTTTAGTAAATATAAATAGAAATGATTTTAAAAAATGACACATAATCAAATACTATAACAAGATGATTGCTTGGTGACTCGGGAAACATGTTATTAGGTCCAATTGCACGCTTTTAACTTGTTGAAACAGTCAATTGCACTTTTTAAAATTTAGTGGCCTAATTACATTTTTTGTGTAGTTCAGTGGTCAATTTGAATTTTTTTTCTCAAAAATCTATTACTATTATTTAACATTGTAATTTTTTTTAAAGAAATATAAATATATAATTCTAACAAGCTTTCGGTGGTCATTTAAAACTTAAATGAGTTAAAACCATATGATCTACCAGGATTTTTTTTTTTTTTTTAAACACGAGCTTTTATTAAATCAAACAAGCAATACAATTTGGAATAAAAGAAATCCAAACAGAATGACCAGATTCCGAACTAGCAGCCCTAGCAATGGCATGAGCACACTTATTCTCTGATTTTGGAACAAAATTAAAGGACACTATTTAAAGTGTCTACACATCTCCTTGCAAGCTTCAATCACACAACCAACATATGAAAGATTAGCACCTGAGTCTTTAAGAAGATTACAAACTACCTGGTAGTCCGATAAAATCGCAATTTTAGTGTAACCAATCTCCTTAATCCATGATAAAGCCTCTTTGACTGCCATAGCCTCCGCATGCACCACATCAACACTTTTAACATGAAAATTTAACACTGCACCTAGGATGGTAGGACACACCCAACTCTTTTTTATTACGGAGTACACTATAAAATTAGTATCAGTACATCTTGAGAAGGGAAAATCAAACACCTATACTATCTTATTATTATCATCAAATTAGTATCAGTACACCACGAAAGAGGAAAAACCAAACACCTATCTTATTACTATCAAATTAGTATCAATACATCTCGAGAAGAGGAGATCATAAGACCAAAGAGAATAATATCAACCCTTCCATTCAAGTAAAAACAGGAAAAAATAATCCAAGCTAAGACATGAAAATCACTTTGAATTTCCTAATGGATATCCAAATTAAAGTAAATAAGTAGGGGAATCCTAGGATCTCTTTCATGGGTATGAAATGATCCTGAGCAGCAAACAATTGCCAAAAAGGAATAACAATCAGCACACATCATCACTCAATACACCAAAAGCAGGAAGAAACAAATGCACAAGAACACAAGATGAATATAAAGCAAATTAGATCAAACCATCCAAATTTAGTTCAAAACACAACCCAGTTTATTACAACATCAAGTTTTAGTTGGAGTACTAAACTTAGTAAAACATAATTAAAGAAAGTCCATGTAAATCATGCAGGTTAAGCATCATTAGCCCTTAATTAGTTCAATACACCATGTTTAATTGGGAACAAGATTTCCCTGGAAGTTTTCTTCATTGCTTAACACTAAATCCTCAAAATACACCATATTCCTTGCTCCAACAATGTTAACAGGAATTCTGCAACCCTACACAAAAAATATATACAAAAAACTAGTATAAGTGCATTTGTAGATCGACAATAAGTAATTATATATGTGTGTATGTGCGCACACAAACACTGAAACACATATATGTATGTATATCAATTCATATGAAAAACTCAATGCTAACATACACTTGAAATGTTCTAAGGACCTGTCATTCGATATTTCGATGCATATGAAAAAACACTGAAACACATATATGATATATGTATGTATACCAATTCATATGTTCTAAGTATCTGTCATTTGATGCATATGAAAAAAATACCATTTGTACTAAACTTCTGGACACAAATATAGCATTTCATTGGAATTATATATGTGTATATATATGCACTATATATACTCGCAGAAACATTGAAACACATATATGTATGTATACCTATTCATATGTGAAAGCTCAATGCTAACATACAGTTGATCGAAATGTTCTAAGAACATGTCATTTGATTCATATGAAAAATACCATTTGTATTCTCAATTGAAGCATGTGCTCCATCCATCTCAACTAAAAGCCTAACGTGGACCGGTAAATCGTAGTCGCTTACGAGTGGCGTTGAAATTCGAACTCATGACCTGGCTCTAATACCAAATTGAAGCATATGCTCCATCTCAACTAAAAGCCTAAGCTGATAGTTGGATACACATTAATGGATATATGCTCACATTCTCAACATCAAATTAAGTTCTACACATATATTTAGCATTTCACTGGAATCGTACGTGTGGGCATGTACTCGCACAAACACTAAAACACAAATATGTATCATATAAGAAATCTTAATGCTAATATACACTTGAAATGTTCTAAGGATCTATCATTTAATTTGATGCACATGAAAAATGCCATTTGTACTCTGATCATCATATAAACTCCTAGACACATATCCAATATTTCATTGGAAGTATATATATATTCTTAAATTTCATTGTTTTGAGTTGCAGAAAGTGTGAAGAGTAGAGTGATACATACCAGAATCCTTGATATCTCCAGCAGTTGTCAATACAGGACAGAACTGGATAAGAAAATTCAACAAAACACTGATTTAGTTAAAATTATGCAGAAATAATATAAGGACGATGGAGATAACCAGTACAGCATATCAAACTAGTAATTAACAGCACAAAATCCAGAATATTTAATAACCACTCAACTTAAAAAGCCACCTCAAAAAAACAGATAAGAAAGTAACTATAGCTGCTGGGTAGCTCAAAAGGATCACAAGCAGTGCAGTGTTCATCAAAACAAGGATAAATATAATATTCACAGTCCACTAAAAATAGTAACCATTCACCCATGCATGCATCAACCAATAACTAACTGCAAAAATTAGCCAAAATATTTGTATGTTTCAACACACAGAAAACCATAACTTTGCATTATGTATAGGCCAGGATGGTACAAGGTATCACGGTCTCGCCGGCCCGTACATAATTTTACCCAATAAATTCAAATATTCATTCGATTCGCCTATGAAACTATGAGAATTTTAATCATCAAACAATAATTTATATCGAAACTCAAATTTCAAGATTAAACCAACACTTTAGAGGACTGTCAAAAGGCCAGAACTTAGATGCATGTTGGGTTATTATTATCGAACAAGTAAAAACAAAGATATAAGAATGTTTTAGGGTTTTATTAGACACGGTATTGCAACATATAAGAAAGAACTAACAGTGAAAAATAATAGATTGACAACCGAAATGACGTATTTTAGTAAAAATCAATTTAATAATAATATCATGACTTATGGCGACCTTTGGGTATTTCAAGGAAAATAGGAAAATGATACAACGCTCAAGCTAAAACCCTAACTCCACTACAAAAGTTAGTTTAAGAAGAAAATTTAAAGATCTTGTGGTCTAATGGTACCAAATTAAATTTCCACTTGGAAGGTTGTCGGTTCGAGCCACAAATACAGCATTGTAATAGAGTTAATAGTATTCAAAAAAATGTATTATTTAAAAAAGAAGTTTGTACGAATGTTCCATCATATCGCATATAAACAACGCGACAATTCCCCTTAAGATTGCATATATGACTTATTACGAGACCGCGAATTCCAAGGAAAAATTCCACAAGGGAGGCTAAAGTGATAAGGTGTTCCCATATTTTTTTTTTATTATTTTTTTATTTTTTGAGAAAAATCTGCAACTACTATTTAAGGTTATGTACTTAGAAAATTTATATTATGACCATAGACACCAAAAGATCAAAAGGAAGTTCCCTTCCATTATAGATGTATGTTCGTTTGTAGTTGATATGGTTCGTATAGCCTAAGAAAATTGAAGTAGAACTCTTCGTGTGGAAGGAAACTTGATATGGCATGGGCCAGGGTCTAAGATTAAACTAGAATCTTTCTTATTTTTTAAAATTCTGTTACAATGTAGTATTTGTTCATAATTATTTTTTTCACTGGGAATCGAATTCATGACCCCTCATTTGAAGAGTCATTTCATGTTACTAGACCACAAGATCATTGACCATTTTTGTTACGTGTAAGAAATATAGAAGATGTAATTTTTTATTTTTTGATAACAAATATAGAAGTGACTTAAGAAATACCCTATGACAGATATTGGGATGCGACATGAAGATGTCGGTATATTCAAAGTTTTATTTGGATATGGGTAGGAAAAAGACATACAGAGTGAGCCCAACAAGCAAAGCACCCTGCCCGCACGGTGACTTATCGTGATCTATATTTTTAAAAATTTATTTATATTATATAATACTCCGTATAAATTGTTATAATTAATTAATGGTGGAGCACAAATATATTTGGTTTAAAAATATTTAGAGTGGAAAGTGAAGATATTTAAAATAGATAGAAACTAGGTGATAATGTGAATGAGAAGTATCTCTTAGACCCTTAATGTAATCTCTTGGAGACGATTAGATAGTTTTAGAACTAAAGTTGGAGATGTCACAACAAGCATGTTCGTTCATAGGAAGATTTATTTTCGCTCCGAATGGTTAGTAACTTTAATCTTGAAGAATTCGAATTCGAAGCACGGAGAGAATTATACGATTGGAGTTTTCTAATCTAAGTTTATGTAGTTTAGAGTGCTTTCCACTTCCATTGCTACTTATAGATTAAGATAGTATAATCTAATTTTGCCCAGATCCACTGCAGAGTGTACAATACTTTGAAGAATTGCTCAAAAACAAAATGTTTAAATTATACAGAGCCTACCCAGAACAAGTAAGAAGTAAACAAATATGACATGCTTTCTTGCAACAGCAGATATATGAAGAAGCAAAAATTAGTCGGGCAGAATATACGGTTTTCGATGGAGCATTCATATGCACATAAGCATGTACATGTATCTAATGTCGAAAAAGAGTAAAGAACAACTCACAAGTGCATCAAGGTGCGCAGGTCGTCTACGCTAACGTCCCTCTGATCACGCGAGTTTTTCTTCTTGAAGATTTTGCTGGCAAACAGTTTCTTCTTCTCCTGCAGCTGCAGAATCCTCTCCTCGATGGTGTTGTGTGCGATCATCCGCACGATCTTCACCTCCTCGGTTTGCCCGATCCTGTGGACGCGGTCCATGGCTTGTTCCTCGACAGCAGGGTTCCACCACGGCTCGAACAGGTAGACCCTCGAGGCCATGGTGAGGTTTATCCCCGCGCCCGAAGCTTTCAGGCTCGCGAGCAAGATCGTGGGTCCCTCTGGGGCCGGGACACCGAACCCCTTGATCACGTCAGCGCGTTGGCCCGCACTCATTTTGCCATCCAGGCGCAGCGTCTTGAATCCCGCTGCTTTCAGCGGCGCTTCGAGCAGAAGCAGCATCGTGCGGAACTGCGAGAACACGACGGATTTCGTGGTCGGGTTTTGGTCCCGCACTGCACACAGGAGTTTAAGAAGGGCGGTGGCTTTGGACGATGGAGCTGAAGAAGAGCGGTTCCCGTCAGTCACTGAATCAGGAGTCGGCTCCGATGGGGCGAAGAAAAGATCGGACTCCGTGAGTGGATGGCGACACATCGGGCAGCAGGATTTCATATGCTGCAGCGTCTTCAGGATGCATATTTTGCAGAAGATGTGGGCACAGCTCGTAATAACAGTGTTCTTCGGTGGAGAAATACAAATCGGGCAGTCAAAACCATCGTCATCCTGTAGTGCCATAAGCATCTTATCCAACAGTTTCGGGTTGCTGTTTACATCTGTTTCGATTCAGATCATTTCCCAATAATTAAAAACAAAAATCGAGAAAAATGTTTATCTAAGTGAAACAATATTTTAAAATGGTTCACATGAGCAACAAAGAAACCATATCGATTACCTCCAATTTTATTTACTGGAAGTACATCTCGAAGATCAGGCGGGCACATGGCTATATCTGTACAGATTTGTCGAAGCCGCACGAGTGCACTCAGTACAGTCAAATAACTCTTCATTGAACCTTCTGTACAGATATACTCCATAACAATACTCTTAGCTCTCAATTCCATCTGCTCATAAATTTCACGTTCTTCCCCAGAGAGTTCAACATAAATGGTCTCTAGAGTTTTCGATGGCAAGCCCACCAGGGTTTTTTCTTTTGTTCTTCTCAACGACATGGTTGCCATTAAAATCTGAGATAGGGAAAGGAAGGATTGCAACACACTAGAAATTCAATATATTTAATACATCGAGAAAACTAGAGAGCCAAGAATAGAGTCACTAAAACACACACATACATAGTATCAACTATATTAATGTATTAGCCTGCAGAAGGAATAATCATCGGGTTTAAACAACATCAGAGTCCCCAACCAATATATCCAAATACCAGTGTTGCAAAAATCCCGCCTAGACACCGATTAATCGGCGCCTATGCGCTAGGCGCTGGCCGGCCACCTACCGTATCACCATAATCAGTGGTCTAGGCAGCTGCCGGCTAGGCCGCCTAGACCGACCAGGTTGCCTAATCGGCCGATTAGCTATTGTTCCCTTCTTTTTAAAATGGGTTATTTCACTCAAAACGACATCATTTTGAGAGAAATAACCCTAAATTGTTCAAACTCTAGATGTTTTTTAGGTTAATATTTAATATTTTAGTATTAACTATTAAAGTCTTAAAAAATTTAAAAATTGTAAACAATTTTTTAAAAAATAAAAAATACACGGGCGCCTAGGCGCCGATTAATCGCCGCATAGGCGCCCCCAAGCACCCGAGTAGCGCCTAGCGATTTTTTCAACCATGCCAAATACACAAGTCTAAACATGAAAGGAGATGATACCTATCTGAAGTATAAAATCCGACAAAGAATTTATTAGAAGAAAAAAAAAAAATCAAATTGCAATAGAATAGTACAGTAGTGGACGACAAACCATATATCAGTGATTTAAAAATAAGGAAAATATATCATAAAAATGATAAATAATATATTTCACTAATATTCATCTAGCTGAAAACAGCTACGGAAAATGTTAACATGTTGCAGATTGAAATTTTTGTTTAAATGAATTTATACTCTTTATAATCTGGCCCTTTTTAATCCCCTTGACCTCTTACAATTACAGCTTCACCCAATAGGCCATTATGGTTCCTCTCATTCAATCAGTGAATGATCTAGACCATAATCATGCAAGAGAATTGAATATAAAGTTATGAACTTTTCCAAATTCAAAGTAAAATCAACCCCAATTTAAACCAGCCCCACCACTTCTGCCCTAAAATCAAAGACCAGTAGACCACCACGAAAAGGAAAGAAAAGAGGAAAAGGGTAATGCAGAAGTCAACACACCAATCCCAACAAGTGTTACAAATATGATCCAGTTAACATTACCATTTGGTGAAAGTTACCAAAACTATCTGCAAGAATTGACAGTTTTCCAGTTTCCAAATCTTTCAGCCTCTTCATAACAAAACTTCAATGCATTTTTCTCAATGAAACATTGAAAGAAGCAGAAATGAAGTTTCAATACTAGCGCAGAGAGCTAGCAATGGAGGGTGCTCCAGGAAGAAATAAAGCACGTAAAGTATTTTAGGAGTAAGAAATTATCACCTTTTAATTTCATAAAGCATAAAATGTAAAGCTTCACACACAAAAGAGCACAATGAAGACCTAAATTCCAACAAAAAGATGGCATGAGATTTGCTGACCTGTAACCGCATAATCCCGTTCTCGTCTCCTAGAACAAGTGGACGCTGTATCAAACTAACCCAATAGGGTTTTAATGACAGGGGCTCTACCCTCAGAAATGTCATTAAGGAATACAAATCCATTGAATGATTCTGTATCGGGGTTCCTGTCACCACCCACCTTCGTTTGGCGATTAGGTTGTTAACTGCCCGAGTTTGTTGAGCATTCACATTCTTAATGATATGTGCCTCATCAAGAATAACTCGCCACCATTCTATCTTCTTGATTGGTGACTCCAACAATTGCTCTTCATTAGCCAAAATATTATAGGTAGTCAAAACTATATCATGCTTTTGAAGCACATTGGCGTCTGTAGTTCGCTGTCTGCCATAATACAAGTAAACCTTCAGAGAGCCCGGTCTAGTGTGCTCTTCTAACTGTGTAATCCAAACTGAAAAAATAGCGGGTGGACAAACCACCAGAGTTGTTCTCGTACTTGAAGAACCAGAGACCCTGTCACATACCGGCTCGCCCTTCATTTCTTTGGCTCGAGCACCTACAGATTTTAGCTTCTTTCGTGAATTATTAGCCTTGGTACTAACTCTTCCTCTCTTAGAGTTT